TGTTTGCCAACGAGTGGTTGGCAGAATTCTGCTAAACTAATTGGTTGAAAGAGATTGCCTTTCAACCAATAGGAAGTCGAAATGCACACAGACCAATCGTCTGTCAAATGTAACCGTTGGGGTATCTCACACCAACGTGAAACCCATTGTCGTAACCAAGTGGCTACATGTAGCCAATTGCGTGTAACCCCGTTACACCATCCTCCCGTTAGGATAAGACGTGCTAGTCTTAACACATCACTCAAGTATTGACAAGACCGTCAATTTTCAGGGAGAACCCGAGCTCACTCCGCGATGAGCTTGCTAAAGAAGACACTAACAAAAACGTCTGACCTCACCGCCGAACCCGGTACCCCTGTACGTTTGCAGCGCCATCAATGACGACGCTAAAGCTGCCAACATGCACTTTGATCCGTCTACGAATCAAAGGCCTAACTACTACATCATGAGCTCCGATGGTAGTCGCAGTCCCACCTGGAACTGCGTATGCACACTGCCGGTTCGGGGCAATGCGCTTGTTGAAGCGCGATATTCTCGGGTACACGACGGTGCGTGTACCGGTTTTTCTGTGCGAACTCCGTGCTCAATTTGAACAGCGAGATGCACCCTGTGCCAGTTCTCGCAGCTTTGTGCAGGCACTACGCCTGCACTCGGTTCTGGGCCTCGTACGCCCTCACCATATCCGGAACGTCCTCCATCAGGACGTTTTGCGGCTCCGACGTATCTCGATGGGGAGGAAATCGTTTCCAACGAAATCGGAAACGAGTCTAGTCTTGGCTCATCCTGGGGGCTTCAAAGTCCACTATCCGCTCGACAATTCAACGTGTCGAGTTGCGAGTCATCGACGCTAGATGACTCATGTTGCCATGCCGTTCAAGCATCTTGAGCGGACCGATGAAGCGCGGAGCAAGCGTACTTGCTCCGAAATCCTAAACTGCATCTCTAGGCAGGTTAACAGAACTAATGAACTCTTTTTGAATTCATTTGTGTTGTTTCTGCCGACATTGTCTGCATTCAGCTTCTGTCTATCCACAGAAGCTGCTATCGCGTCCTAAACAAACCGTATGACGGCTTGTCGGCGCTGGACAAAGTCCAGTGCTTGCACGTTGAATGGCTTATTCAACACGACTTTCTCCGCAGCAGGTTTGACCTGCGCGCTGGCTGTGCCCCGCACAGACGTGTCGTTGTTTTCCGCGGTGACTGTGCCCGGCACAGTCTTATTGTTGT